TCTATTGTCGTGCGATTGTTTCGCGCTTATACCCCTTCCCCTCGATGTTCTGCGCCTGAAGATCGATTGGCCGGTAGCACGAACGTCAGTTCCGAAGTAGCGGCCCCTCATCCGTCGCAACGTTGGTCCCTTCGTGCGCAGCAGTTTCTAGATTTAAAAGTAGCAGTTTCTAGACTCAAAACTCACGTTTCTAGACTATCACCCCTGTTGGGCTTACGAGAAAAGTGGGCACAGAAAAAGTGTGCCACGGTACGAATCTGCGCATTCAAAACTAGTAAAAAAAGGTCTCGCTACGTCCTGCCTAGGAGGTGTGTTGAAGAAATCATGTCACCATGAAATGGGCAGGAGCTTCCTGTTAGAGGTCGGTCGCCTATTAAGTACGGGTTTTCCGCAGAAGTCCCAGATTGATACGGCTGATGATTTGAAAAATAAGTATCGAGCTGTTCCACAAGAAGTTAGTCAACGGCAAAAATTAAGACCGGCCATCATTTCCTACGTCCATGCTATTTCCGACAATTTAAAAAAAAATGGCAGGGCATTACAAAGTTCCGGTTGCATTTCAGCCACGAATAAGCTTTCGCATCGCGCAAACGAATCATTGCTCCAGTCAGGGATCGTGACAAATGCAAAAAGAAACAGAAAAAGAGGCTTTTGGTATGTACAACCTCTGTAGTCTACGACTTTCAACTATCCAGCGGGCATACCTACGTAGGGCAAACGGGCCGCTGCGTAAATGACCGTGCTAAAGAAAATGAAGCAACTATCAAACAGACGCCGTTGAGGAACCTGCCCGTGCACTGCGATCGATGCTCGTACACACCCTTGTTTTGAAACACAACCATCTTTGGGCGACACAGCGTAAAAACAACTAGGGAAATTCACGAAGCGTTTATCATAACAAGGGGCGGCGATGAGTGTATCGTGAGCCGTCTGTGGCACTGTTAGATAAGGAAATGTTATTTTAAGAGAGAGAGAGAGCCGGGTGGCGGGAAGTGACGCTGTTTTATTGAAGTATTTAAGTTTGTGTGTTCCTAATAAACTTCCAGTTGCAAGTGCACTCCGTGTTGTCGTTACCTCTTGCAGTTTGTCCCTGTCCTTCGGCGCCTCTATCCAGTCGAAGATTAAGTAGAGAGAACGGTTGGGAAGAGGCAAAGGTTGAATAGAGACAAAGGGTGAGCAGAGACAAAGGTTGAGTTGACGTAGATTGAGTAGAGACAAACTTTGATTCTACCCATTAACATTCCAATCATAGATCGGTGTTCGGACGTCCCCGCACGCACCCGTCTCCTATTCCCCCTCAGTTACTGTTCATATAAGCATCGTTTCCTTCAATGGACCACCACGTTACCAGATTTGAAGTTACTGAAAATCAGGCTAGTCACGAAATTAGAGGATGTGATATGCGGCATCACCGAAGAAATTGAAGCAGCTTATACTAACTTTACGGTGAAGGCTGCTGAATGAACTGTACCAGGGAAATGACAGTCTCTTGTATGAGTCGACTGAAGGCAAATGTTTCACTTACGTCTTTTGCTGCATCCGTTAGTAGGCTTGGTTCCGATTTATCAACGGTAGATTGCCGAAACGCTGATGTGGTGATGTTAACAGTTATCAGGTTTTTTTTTTTTTGCGTCTACACACTTGTAAAGCGACACTGAGTATATCAATTAAATACCAGAACGCTTTTATAAATATTTTTAGTGGACATTTGTAGCAACATACGGATCAGAACGCTCATCATATCTTTGAGTTATCGAGTCCGCCTTTCTACATTGACGGTGATCAACTTGAGCTGCTGTGAGGTCGATAGACCGTTGCGGAAGCCGCCATGAAACAATGACGAAGTATTCTCGTATCTCGAGTCTGACGGATCTCGTGGGGCAACGTTTTTTCTTTTGTTTTTCTTAGAGCCGTTTGGGATCTCGCAAGGGTAAGAGTTCTGAATTTTCGGGTAGAAGTGTGCAAATAGTGGCTCAAACTGAGTAGCGCTGCATCAATCATAACTTTCACAGCGCAAAGGAACGACACGGCACTCCGGTTCGGTCTTCATTGTTGAAGATGAGAATGACATTGCGCTAATCCATCCGACCCACACTTTGCACACGACTATTTTAGATATCTAAACACGTAGACTTCGCAGTACTTATAATTAGAAATTCATTCTCGTTGCCGCTATTGACTCCGAAATGTTTCGGTGGCGCCCTCTTGCGATTTCCGTTCGTGACGTCACGTTCAGAATCCGCCTCGCCGTGGCGTCGTTAGTTGCATTCTTGGCTACTTGTCATCAGTTGCGAAACGCAAGCGTTATGTGGTCTTTAGGAAAACCAGGGGGACCTTTGAGTGATGGCATTTTTGAATCAACATTGTCATAGTTGACACTCTGATATAGTGCTGATTTCCGTCCGTGAAAGAAAATTTCATCTAAATAAAGACGTCACGATGAGCGTCTGGCCAGTCGCGAGTTGCGACCACGGCGACGCGTTTGACCGCGGGTCGTCGCAAATTGAGGTTAGTTAAATTTGCCCAAATAGGCTGAATTAGTTTACTAACCTTGCATTAAACAAAGTCGGAAGTTGCAAGGAGTGATTCTGCATCGTCGCTGCCTGACTTGTTTGCTTTTCTGAGGACGATGCTGGAATACGCTGATAATTACGTGACGAACACAACAAAGCGGATATATCCGAAGGTGACTGCACCTCAAGACGTTCAGCAGCGTTTAGGTGGACAGAGGTTTCTAAAGGGACGCTGACATCCCCCAAAATTATTTTTTAATTTTTGAGCTAGGCGATTCGTTTTTGTGTCAGATGACTACCCAATCAATGTTTTCCTGCAGTGTCACGGATACTTTTAATAAAGTCAAGAAACTCAACTACTCGAAACCGAAACCGAGACTGGACTGGGGAGGGGGAAGATATATAGAGAAAAAGAGATGTGGTGAAAGTCACGTGCCTGTCATACCTTTTTCTTTTTCCCCAATCAACGTATTTTCAGCTTTTTAGAAGCCACAAAAACGGGTATCATGCTTTTTTTCCTATTTTTGATATTGTGTATGTGCCTTCGATGACATACGACTTTGATTAGATTTGGTGGTTTTGTCTGAACCATAGAGAACTGTACGTGACATGGAGAAAAGAGTGAGCACGACTCAAACCAGCCAGTTCTGGATTTGCTGTTTTCGAGCGGTGAATTGTTTTCTGGGCAGTTGGGCTCTCATATGTGTTGTACAAATAAGAACCTTGGCGAGCATAAGTACGCCGTCAGTATCCCTTTAAGGAAGTGTTTTTTTAACAAACAGAAATAAAAAAAGTATGGTTTACTGCATTACGATTTTTAAGTGCTACATGTTTCGTTAGGTGCCATAGATATGACGCTGTAATTTAGACGCGCGCACAAGATATTAATTGTAATTGTCATACACACTGACAGTTTAAAAAAACGCGGGATTGTGCCAGGTCAAGGCATATTGTTACTCGTTATCTAAAGCGCTCTCTTGCCTCTTTTGTTCTCTTGTTGTTTTTCCGACCAGACCCGTTCTTCTTTTGGTCTCATCACAATATTAGTATTGCTCCTTAGTCAATGGAATGCAGCATTAGTTGATAAGAACGCCAAGAAAAGAATCACAAAGCAAGAACGCTGTTATTCACTTTTAACGCGATAGCGTTAAGGAGCTCATGTCGCAGAGAAGCCGGCGTCGGCGTCGGTGGAACCGGAAAATTCTGATTGGTCGATAGGGTTATGACGTCACAGCCACGTGTGACGTCACGCGTGTGACGTCACTCGCGGCTGTGACGTCGCGACCCTGTCGACCCGCCAAATTTGTCGGGAAAGCTTTCCGCTAAATTTCGCGGGAAAATTTTTTGCTAAATTTGGTGGGAAAATTTAGCGGGTTGATAGGGTCGTGACGTCACACGCGTGACGTCACGCCACATGACCTAGCGCGGGAGTTTCAAAACAATCCACAACGCTCATGTGTGACGTCACGTGACACTTGACGCTACCGACGACATCACGCACATACGCTTGCACGGCTTAGAAACGAGCGCGGGTTTATATGAGAAGGTTTTGCGTACGGGGCCCGATAACGCAATCGCGTTCCACTCTTAAAGGCGAAGCTTAAGTTCCCTCCAAATTGTACTTCGATGAATGCACGACAGTATACTTCCAAGCAGCGAGAAATGCTCTGAATTTTAGATTGTTGCATTGTTTTCTTATCATGCGTATTGAGTTAAGGCCTATTTTGGAAAGACGAGCAACTAGGATAGTATTTTTTTTAATTCAGCTTCGTGTCGAACAAGCTTTATTTTTAACTTTTGCTTGTGCCACCATTCACACGACAGACTCGCATAATTACCTGTATAATGAAATTTATATATAGGAATGGTAATACTATCCATTCTATAATATAGAGCACGCGCGTGTAGACCCAAAATGTCTTACCTTTGTAGTGCAGTCGCGACGTGCCACTCGCAAGGTTCGTCAAAACCGTTGCTTGGCTGAAGACGCGCTCTTAAGGCCTTTTTTTTTTTTGCAATTTAAAGAGGCACCATTTTCAGATTTAGTTTTGTTTTCGCAAAACACAGCTTCAAACTTGAAAAAATAAATTAGATGAACGTATGTAAAACAATTCTGTTTTTTCTCCATTATGGCAGCAAGGACTTCTCATGCATATGGAGCACTGAAAAAGCTCAGGTTAGCAAAACGGCGGATACTGAGAACGTAAAAAAAAAGAAATCTAACTTTTCCTCGTAGTTTTTCTGCCTAATACATGTAAAAATTAGGCACACTGCTTGCTCGTTTAAATTTACTTGATTTTGCCGTAAAAGTAAGTTATAAAAACAGTATATTTAGGCGAAACATTATAAAAAAAAAACAAGATGACCAAATATCTTAATAGCATCCCTCATTGTGAACACTAGCTGTTCTGCTAAAACTGCGTAATGTACAAAAAAGAGATAGAACTATGCTCAAGCAAAATATTGGAACAATTCTAAAACAGATAATGAATGAAACAAAGTTTTTGGTGCATTTATTTTGAATCTTTTAGTTTGGCAACTTTATGATCAGGCACACTACAGCATGTGGAAAAAACAACGGAAAACCATCTTTCTTTAACGTCACATGTATGAAAATAATTTAGTTGTCCAGGGTGAAACAGTCCCTCGAGGCCTCTCGATGCTGCAAACCACCATGAATGTTCTCGTTGAAAAGCTTCGTCGTTTTCCTTGCACATATTTTCTCCCACACACCTTTGACGATGGCGCATGGAGAGAAGCGAACAATCTCTGTTCTCTCTGATGCGCCTGATCCACAAAAAGTCACTCAGTCACTTCACAAACGCGTTTGTTTTCACGGGTTGAACTGAAGAAACGTTTTTATACTGTAGATGGTGTCGTATGAAGGTGATGATTGGAGACGTAGCAGTCTGCTGAATTCCATTCTGAAAAAAATAGAAAACATTAGAAGGTAAAACGGAGATATAACAAACAGATGTGTTGATAGCATGAGTTTCAACAAAATGCAGTCAGCTCTATCATGCTGGGCAATACTCGTAGAACATTTGGACGTGCCAACAACGTGATGACAATTAAGCTATTCCCACATAGATTTACACAGTTGACAAGAGAAAACATCCATAGACAAGATAAAATATAATATTCTTAACCGGAAGTGAATTTCACGCTTCATTGTTTTGAAATTGGGAGCACAAAGAATTGAGACATTCACAGAAACTAATTATTAAAACTTCAACAGCTTCTCCTTGTCCTCAATCTAATTTCAACTCGCATGTCATGCCTTGATGACGAATTGGTTAGGGGTAACCCGCTTATAAGCAACTGCTGCTGCTTGACTGAAGTGTTCATCACACTCAATTCTGATTCAGCAAGTTATTGAAAGTGAATTGTAACGTGTCAACGACTTCTTGAGCTAAATACCTAGGGGTAAATTCAGATAAATAATTAAAAAGCAAATACTTTCCTTGTAGCGATTCGCACGTATACCCTGTCAGACGAACACGTTAAAGGTTTTCAGAACGAAAACTTTTAAATGACCACTGAACCAGTACAAGCCGATAACACCGAGATCGGTAGTTTATTCGCCGTTCTTTTAAAGAACTTTGTTCTGAGGGCTATTAGAACGTGTTTCTTCTGACCGGGGTTTGCTATTTCTTTTTTTTTTTAAGCAAAGGTTCTTTAGCGCGTAGGTTTTGTGCCCAAGAAGCCAGACACTAGAAAGAGATTCGTACAAATACAGTGGATGGCCACTTCTTGCATAAACGACGTGGTCAAGGGGGCGGGACGTGCACGAAGATTGTTATGGAAAAAAATGTTACCGTAGCACTGAAGAGAGTGAGCAGGGCAGTCCAGAAAGATGGCGGCTTAGAGCATGCAGCCACAAGTGCTGGGAGCAGCCGGTGCAGAGGAAGGTCAGGCACTGAGGAAATGCTGAAGAGTGCTTAGAGTGTGAGTGCTTGAGAAGGAGAAGCGATGCAGAGCGACAGGAAGAGGAAATGTTCGTTTTGTACCAAAGGTATCAAGTGGAAGGCTTTATCATACTTGGTCTCTATCGCAAACTGATCGTTGGTCACTATAATGAGCTACTCGTAAGGTTGATTTCCTTCACAAACTGCTTATAATACCTGCCGAACAAACTAATCATAAGGTTATTGTACATCTGCCTACTACCTTGATGCACACAATATGCAAACTAAAAGTATGCAAGTTCGACCACATTTTTTACCTTAAAAATTGATCGGGATATGTCACTTACTGTTTGCATCCTGAGTCACAATAGAAAGAAAGCAGGGCCTACTGTTAATTGCAGGTTGTTCTCAGATATGGTAAATCCACACCTGTGATCGGTGGGAAGGTTATCCCAATGTATACCTTTCAAACAGAAGCTATAAACTAATTCTCGCAGTGTGTCACGTTACCGTTGTCTATTCAAAACTGGTCAGTGGCAGTGGTATTAAACCGACTTAAACTTTTACGTAAACTCGACAATAACACTATTTTTATGTTATGCAGGTTGTCTGTAGATGCTAGGCGAGTAATGTAGCCATATTTGAACCGAGGTGCATCTATCTTAGTGTATGCCGCTCAACCAAAACTTTAAGATTTAGAAAATGCGAACAAAAATAATGTGGTAGACGTCGTCACGCAAAGACTTAAATATATGGCAGGAGCAATTATGAACCTTTACTGAGACAACCAAAAAAATATGTAAAGAAATGTGCTTATATAAATATAAGACGTCGAATATTCAATTGCATGCGCCAGGTTTTCTTTTAGCACAAAAAAACAACCTTGCTAATACTCTTGTTCAACACGACATTTTGGCCGTTAACTCCAACACTACAAAGCCTTGTAGAAAAGAAAACTATCGAGATGGGTGACGCTTTTTGTGCAGAGGACGTGAGCATAAGGACAAGCGAGTGGAAGCAGGTGCTTTGCAAAATGCAACACTTAAAGACAGGGCAGAAAGACAGAAGGCAGTGAAGAGAGGTTTACAGTGTGAAGTTTATTGGCACGCCAAAGCGACATATGACGAAACATCTGGTGGCAAGCAAGCAAATCTGCAGCGTAAGACAGGAGGACAGAGAGGTGGTAGTAACCTGCAGCCAGGCGCATGTCTGCCTTTCTTTTCAAATAGTTGCACCACAAACACCAGTAAGATTAAGGCCATGTTTATGCGTCCAAGTCTCTTGATTTTATTTTAAAATGTAAAATGTTTACATATAATTTATTTGAGAGTGCCTTTTTCAGTGTAGTATTTTAGCCCTCTTCAGTCAAATGACCGCTTAATAAGTCTTGCTGACACTTTATACATGTGCGACAGCCTTTTTAAATAAATGAACCTTGGCCGCTTTTATTTTGTCAGCAAGATGTTTTTGAGCACAATGCGTTATAATGAAAGCGTCCAAGAAGGACAAAAAAATGTAGCTAACAATTTTTTATTTTTATACTTCAGAATTAAGACTACTAATCTTAATTATACTTTTTGCACCACTATGAAGCGTGCTCGAAAGCGCAAAAAAAAAAACACGGACACGAGGGAGAAGACACACAGACTGGTGCCACTTACAACTATATTTGAAGGGTGCAAAAAAGAGAAACATACAAATCTCGTCACCTTCGTCTCGTCCACCTATGCGCTTGGCCGGGGGATACATGCTTTATCATACATTCACACACAAAAAAAACTTCTAAAAAAAAACTTTTAGAGTTTCCACTCTAGTGAAGAAGGAAGACTAGCGAAGTTGTACTATGGCGGGAATGAAGTAATGGCCAGCCGGAAGTCGGCAAGCCAGATTGGAAAGGCTGGACAACTACCGCCATCTATGAGCTGCGGTGGCATCCAGACAATGGGCAAACCGGTTGTCTGGTTGCCGCCGTTTCTTATAGACGACGGTAGCTGTCGAGAGTTTCGTGTCATCTGTTCTTTGCTGACGGACACGATACAGGGGAAACTAGCCCTTAATAGCTCCGCTGTGAAATGTTATCTCCGTATCATACAGTGCAATAGGTATTTCACTTATGCGTTCTAAAAAATATGAAACACATATTGCACTGTATAACGGGGAGATAAGAGTTCTTGTGAAGTTTTAGTGAGTGGATAAGAAATCATGTAATCGCTGTAATCGCAAGCGTGGATGTGATAAAGGTGACGAGATATGTTTTTTTTTCTGCACTCTTCAAATGTAGTTCTGAGCGGCACCTTTGTGTGTGTATACTTCCTTGCGTCCGTGGTCTTTTACGTCTCGCACCATGCTTATAACGTTCACCAACTAGCCCAACCACAAATGCTTCTGCTGTTTACCACAGCCCACAGTGGTGAAAATCACGTCTTTGTTTTGCATCAAGGAAAAGTAAGACTGTGTTCAGAGTTTTTTTTTTGCATTACTGTTTGCAGTGACTAGGTGCGGCTGAATACGCCATAGCTCAAGATACTTTGTGCAAAGTAGGGGTGAATGAAGGCAAAACGTCAGTAAACATATTGTTTCAATATCCAGTGGCAATCAAATCGGACCTCTTTTAATTTGGCACCTTAGATTCAACTTTTCGCAATTATGGTTAGGCCAAAACCTTGGTTTTTATGGCAGTCATACACCTAGGGAAGGTCGAAGGTATAAAAAAATAGTCATGAGATACAGAGGTACAATATGATGTGGTAGATGACATGCAGTGGGACATGCTTTGCGTACGACATCAAAATCCTATGCATTTCTTTTTTTCACAAAATATACACACACAGTGAGCCACAAAATATTTTCTACAGCGTAAGTGCATCTCCCAATTGAAAATTAAAAAAAAAATGGCAGCATGTGTATGACAACTGCCTAGCTTTTGATCGACAAGTGTACAGGTTTCTACACGCTGTCTACGGACAATTCGTACCTCTAGTTGGATGAATGACGCATACATCCTCTCGAGTTGGGATCTTGTCGCAAGCATTGCTAGAGCGGTAAATATCTCAGAAATAAGCTACGTTTTCACATTATGCATCTAGAACATGAAAATGCTTGATAGATCTTAAACTGCTATATATGTGAGAGCGGAAGAATCACAAGTGTTACCTGTAATGTCCCTGACATCTTCAGAAACGCAATACTTTGCTTATGACGTTCCCCTTCCTTGCTTTCTGATTGGTCCTTCGGCAATCTTATCGGCTAATGCCGCAATCTGATTGGCCAAGGAGCGATAATAAAATGCTCGTGGCCCGCCGCACACCCTGCGTTTCTTAGGCTGTCAGTGACTTAGGCGGAGCGCAAGTTCATCTGCTTCTTGCGCAGGGGTTACGGTGACGTCAGAACGCCAACTTCTGATTGGCCCCTATAGGCTCCTTGCACATGACGTCATTTCCGATGCCCTCCAGAGAAAAGGGAAAGAAGGAGCTCCTCTTTTTTCAGGATCTTCCTTTGTGCCTCCCGGATAAGCACAGACGTCGCTGTTCTCCTCCCAGAAGATTATAGGAGATTAACCTGTCGCTCAAAATTCTTACAAAAGCAGCTTCCTTCTCCTCCTTTTACTTGGTGGGGAAAAGTATGCGATGTGACGTCAGTGCAAGGAGCCTATAAGTAGGATAGTGGGTAAACCTCAAGACAGCTAGCATTCAGGTCTGCTCACTATCCCTTCATCGCAGCCAATTAGAGCTCGTCGTTCTGACGTCCGCGCAACCCCTGCGCAACAAGCAGACGAACTTGCGTTGCGCATAGTCGTCGACCGATCTAGCCGTTGCACACATTTCTCAACCGTGCAGCCAAGATAACTGGAAAGCACTATATTATCTCCTTTTATAGTATAATATTGCGTGAGTAATATAGATACCTGACAATTAAATCTAGAGCACAGCTGCTACATTTGTTACCATGTCTACAAGTGTGTCGAAACTAGGCCTAACTTGACATAATTGATTGCTTCTGTAGAAGTGGTTTATGACGCCATTAAAAAAACACCTGGCAGTGGTGACGGCAACATATCTTCATAATTCCATATTGCCGCTGAGAACGGGAACAAGCCGAACGCCTATGAATAGGGTTTCGTGTTTTCAGATAAATTTGATATAAACTCCGAAAAATACTCTCCGGTAACATCTTCGACAATTCGAATTTACCCCAAAAACTAAGACTTTCGAGGTCACGATGAAAAAATAAAGAGCTATTTTACGAATAAGATTTGTTAGAGCAAGGGACTAGTAGTCCTAAAAAAAGGCCTATACAGTTTTTGTTTTACCTTGGATTATTGACAAAAGGGGAATTTCCCGTTTATCTTGTCAAGGCCCGTTCAGTACAGTCGCCAATTCACCTCTGCAGCACGACAAAATTATTGTTCCGCTTTACAGTTTGGACCATACTATTTTTCCTTCTTAGAGGAAAGAGGAGTTGTGTTTTTAGAAGAGTGGAAAAATTGTGAACCTGTAGATTGAATATAAACGGGGAGGGCAGCTGAAGGTTTTATGCGTCCAGGAGTTTTGAAATTTAGAGGTACCAACGTTTACCGAAGTAACACTTGTCTTCAACATTGGTCGTGGTACAGTAAGTGCTGCCCATTGCAGGGCGCCAACGCCAAATGCAGCTGCAAAAATACTCTTCGTTACCGGTGTTGTTTTTTTTTATTTTTTTTTAAAGAACTTAGTGTACGTTTTTGTTCTGAGATTATTTATTCTTATATTGAAAAAGTAAGAATACAGTAAAATTAAACTCCGAATTTTGGAGGATTGGAACTCTAACAAAAATAAACTTCGGTGAACCCCAAATTTTGAGTGAAAAGTAAACTAAAGAAAACACACTCCGAAATTCACAAGAAATAACTTCCGAAAACATGGAATCCTTTCCATAAGATTAGGTTTGAAAACCTTGGCTTTGACAACCTTAGTAAGAGACATGAGTAAAAATGTGCAAATCTATTAAGCTCCAAGTTGTTTGAACACGCTCGTTTATTTTTTATAACATGGCTATCGTTTGAGAAAAATTGGCAGGAGAAGGCTGTTTGGTTCGAGGTGTCACCAGCAGCACATTCAACTTGCCTTTGTCCTTGTATTGCACATCGAGAGCCAATTCAAAGGACTAACGCTCTCACTCGAGAACCAAAAGTTTCCGGTTCAACCAGCACGTTACTCAGTGCAAATTCAAAGCATGAAGCTGGCTCAAGCTAACAGAGATACGAGGCATGAAAAATCAGCCGATGGCTGCAAACACCTCGTTATGGTTGTTAGTCGTTGACACTCAATGCCATAAACAATCCTCAATTACTGCCGCCTCGTCTAAAATACTAACAGAACGACTGAGCACGTTGAACCGGACCAGGATGTTTAACACATTTACCACTTCATAAAGAGTTAAACCTTAAAACTCCCACTGATTTTCAGAAATCAAAGATTGGCACTCTATATTATTACGATTTCACATACGTTTAAACCAATTAGAATATTAGAATATATAAAGCGGTGTTTGAAAAATAATAAAAAATATCGTCATGCATATGCATGACGAAATTGGAACGAGTATATACTTTTCGAATTTACCTAGTCATTGATTAGACATATTTGCCTAGTAAAAAAACAACAACATGAGATCCTGAGTCGCCCTATTTAAACTGGGAAAATCTTCAATTTATTTTTAATTCAGACACCGCTATATAAGGAGTGATAGATAAATTCGCGAATGTCTATTACTATGGTATTTTTGAATAAGTTCCATTCTTACTCTGGACTACTCTTTTTATCCTTAAAAAAACCCACCAGAATAAAAAGATATATACTCACGCTCACAGAAAAAAAGTTACTTAAAAAGTTACTTAAAAAGTCGCATACATTCAGCAAAAAACAATATTCTACGGAGAATTTCACAGAAAAATGGTGCAATCGTTCTTGGACACTTCTTTTGAAAACCTGCTTAGTTCCAAATATTGTGGGTGGAATACAGTTATCAGATTGCATTTCTGCATTTCATCAACAAAAAGGAAGTGGGTATAATCATATGTCATCCCAAGTACCACATCCATTACTCACATCGGTGTAATCAATTAATCATCTATACAAAACTTAGAGGGTTAATATTTAGAACCACCACAATCTCATGATTTTGTACCACGGTTTAGATAAACTAGACTAATAAATTATACACGACACCAAACATTGGTGATGTCCTCTTGCAAGCATACAAGCCCGCAACTTAGACTTCAAAAACAGCACATTTAACAACACACTACGCTGACACAACTTACTTGTCACATTGCCACCAATGAACAGTGAGCCTAAGTCTAACATCCAACACGACACTTAAACGCAGACAGTAATTGAAATCAACAACACAATATTGCAACCATTTCGACGTTCATATATGTTTTACAAGAAGCATGATAACTGGGAAAACAGAAAGATCTGGATAGAGCACGAGGCCAACTAGTCTATTCAAAATGTTATATACAACCAAAAACTGGACAGAACGAACCACGGACACCAGGACGGCTATACACCATAACGTCAGGCTTGTTGGACAAAAGCATGAGCAAAGAAGAAAAAGAGAATGCCGATTCTTCAGCATGGTCGGTATAACCCATCTAGCTCAACGTATATTGGAAACTTTATGACTACAGTTATACCGCAAGTAAGCAGAAGCTTAACGCTATAACAGCACAACAACTGCATGATGCACATAAGGTGCACCTGCAGTCCTTCTTAATATTGTGTGTGTGTGTTTTTTGTGCGCAACAACTCAATGGTTTCTATAGTAACTGGAAATTCATAAAATTTGATGGTCATGACCTTATGTTATCAAACATAAAGATGTAAAATATGTTCATGTCAAAGGTTTGGAGTTTTTCATGAAACGTAAGCCAGGCAATAAAAAGTCGCGAAATGACCTTACTGTTTCATCAAAATAGTGCGTTTAAAGAGTTACAGAAAGGCACAAGTACATTGTAAGGGTTTTTATCTGTTAAATTGTCGTGCTAGAAAGAAAAACTTTACTGTGCTATAAATTGAAATTTTAACGTAGCATTAAAAGGCTATCTGTACCAATACCAAATAATAAGGAATCCACTAGGTTCACTTAGTTTAATTGAAAAACGTCGGTGAGTCTGCTCAACCTATGTCTTAAGAAGCCGGCAGACAGTACAGCTTATGTACTGCATCTCATCTGTTCTGAAACCTCACAGCCCACCGACTGTAGTGACCACATCTAAAACTGAATGACAACATAGACGCCGTCTTAAAGTTTTCCAAACACATTTACAACTAAATCTCCATCAGTGTTTCAGTGGGTACTCGGCCTGAAACATTCCAAAGGGCAACCGCTTCAGCGAAGAATGCCCAGGACTAGCAGCAACGAGCCACAAAAAGTGTCCGAGGTACCCATCGGCCTCAATGACCTTGATTTCGGCGTGAGCCTAGCAACCTGCATTGGCTTGATCCGGCCTAGCAAGAACCATTAGAACCTACTGGACTAGATCACTGATAGGTGTCTGAATGTGCTCCATCAATTCGGACCAAAACGCCAAAGCTGAACGAGACCCTCTGATCACTGTTGAACAGAAGATATCCAGAGGACATCAATGGCCTCCACCATCTTGGACCCGAAGGTCAATCAGCAACGTGGTGTAACCACCCGCATGGACGTACGGACCTCCAAAGGTCACCTAGCAACGCAGCTCAAACCGGAAGATCTTAAGCGGACACAGAGTCAGCCACAACTACCCAGCTCGACCATCCGATCGGAGAGGTGCTCGGCCTCATCGAACGCGTCTCCAGCCACCATCCGCAGACTGCTGTTGGAAATGGTGCTCGCCTTGCGACTACTCGCGGGCTCGCTGCACTCGTCGATGCAGATGACGACGTTCTTGGCCCGCTGAGCCAGGATCGCTTCGACCGTGTACGGTGGCGGCAGCAGCCCGTCCGTGAGCAAGGTGAAGTCGGACGACTCGAAGGCAACGGACGACCGGAACGTGGACCGGAAGCCGGACGGGAACGTGACCGAAGCCGACTTACCGTGCCGGGCGGCGCGACGGCCGCAGCACCGCATCAAGGTGTCTCGGAAGGCCTGGCGGAACTTGAGCGACATGATGCTGTAGAGGATAGGGTTGATGGTGGCGCTCACGTAGTAGGTTACGCCCGATATATACGTGAGCAGGCTGAAGGCGAGCTCGTGCGCGGGCGTCGGATCCTTGATGTAGACGGCCATGAGCCGCTGGGCGTGGAACGGGGCCCAGCAGATGAAGAAGGCCACCACCACGGCAACTGTTACGGTACAAACAAAAACGGCGTTTTAAGGCAAGGAACTTCGGTTAGGAACTGGTGTTTTATGGATTGAATAAGTCGTCTGCGATTAGGTGTTACATCGGATGTGATTGCAGTCAGGGAGATTATTGTGAATTCAGTCGGAAAAAAAAGGGTACAACCTCGTCTAAGAACTGTAGAGCAGTACTATAGTAGTTTCCAGATCAAGGACCGTGGTAAAAGTAGTCCGGCTTCCCTTTTTATGTAGAGAATTAAGATGTATGTAGGTGAATTGTAATTAGATATATGTTATCTTATGAAGACCTACACGGTCCAAACGCCGAAAGCATTGTATTTTCCTCCGACCACCAAATCTCGTAAGAACTATTTCGCGCCTCGTGTGAACAATGCGCAAAATTTGATTATTTCTTGAGGTGAAAACGGATATAGTTACCACAACAACGAATATCGATACAAGGGTGTTATACTTAAGTTAACATTACACCCGAGCTCAGCTGGTGCTGCGTTCTGGCGGAGCCAATCAAGCTCCGCCAAAACTGCACCGTCATGGCGCTTGTCGTCGTTGTCCGCTTGAGATATCACCTACAAAATCAATCACGTAGAGTGAATGCGCAGTGATGCCGCACTTCTTTGAGCGTAATTGATTTAGCCGTTGATAGCAAACGCACAAAAACGACGAGCACCGTGACGGTGCTGTTTTGGAGCTGCTTGGTCTGTTCCGTCGGTTCGTAGTGTCACTGCGTTCAAACTTTGTGTAACTTTGTGTAACTTTCTGGTTATAGTAACTCAATTTTTACTTCCACGATGTAGACTGGATGTCATATTGGAGGATACTACACTAAAATTATTTTTGAACATGAAAAATAAAATTGTGTTTTTATTGATATGATGATTTAGGCTTGATCCCCGAGTTCTATATACTTTATATACCTTAGTAGAGTGTACTTAACAAGTAAAAAATATTGGTCACCAAGAAATACTAGGATGACCTTTCAGTGCAACAGTTGCATTGTCCGGAAGGTAAGATATGAGGCGAATGTCCTCATGGAAGACTTTTAATGCGTGGCAATTTTTTTTTGTCGTACATGGTATTCAAGTTGGTCTTATTTAGTCACCCGTATCTTTTGATATCACACTGCGTAAATCGTGCCCGAACGAGCCAGTACGTTTTAGTATTGGTGTGAATCAGAGACGCCGGGACGAAATACGGAATTTACCGTACGAGTCATTACTCAAACTTTTTACACTATCGGCAAAATTGGATATGAGCCCGTAGTTTATCTCTTACCGGAACGTAATGAGATGCCAAGAGTTCAGAGTTTTAAAAAAAATTATGCTCTTAAATGCCATGCCAGTTGAGACTGTTGCGCGTGAAACTTAGTGGCATCATGAAGCAAAAAAGCTACCTGCATTCCGCGTGACATAAAAAAGGTACAAAACACAAACAAAATGTTAATTGCTCCTATCTTCTAAGTGCTGAAAATGCAATTGTACAAGATGATACAACAGCATTATGTTTCAAGGTTCTGCGTCAAATATATTTCAAGTGTTCTATTTACCAAATGCTTAGCACTCTTCAGACCTAAAAATAAGAGGGAAAAAAAAGCTTAAAGAATTTGGATTTAAAACTTTAGAAAATGACGACACTGTTTTACTTCGAGGTGCTTCTGCGCACAAGATGTGGGGTGGAATACACAACTTCCTCTATCTTTACCTTTAAGGAACTCAATATTTGTTTCCATAGAAGCTTGAAACTTGCAATGGTGAGCATACAACAACAGACAAATATAGCCTTTATAGAATAATAGCGTTCTGATGTAAATTTCGATTGAAGTCCTATTTTGCAGGGCAGAAAACCACCGATCACCACGTCCTGCTAGGAGCGTGTTTTTTTTCCGTCTGGTTGTAAATGTATACTTTTTCTACAGTAATATTTTCGGGGTAAAAAAAAACAGTACGGTAAAAGTGCTTTGGACGGGAAGAGAACCTTTGCCAAGGGTAATATATTGACGAGGTTTTTTTGACATGTGTTACGAAGTAAAGGGCGTGAAGGTAAACAAAAACATTGCGATTCTCTGGCCCACAATTTATTTTAACGCTTTTCGACGAAGATGTTCAGTGTCAACAGAGAAGGCTTTTTTATGTTTATATAATACGTGTTTTGTCATCTGTGAAAGCTTCCTCGACGGAAAAGAAAAAAACGTTTGAGCTTTCTTTTTTTTGTTCGGATTTTGATGTCAATATGTCGCCACAGTTCTAAAAGCATTTCCTAATGTTTCTTGGCCATCCTTATAAGATGAATGTTTGTCAAGGGCGAGGGGCAATATCGGACTTTTGGCACTTCACATTTGGGACGTATATTTGTTATCTTATGTCACGGTACGTCGAGAGAAACAGATTGTCTTGATTTTTTCAGACTTCTGGCTGAGGGGCTATTGATAGACGGAGTAAGCTTGAATAAAAAATCAACTAAAAAAATAAACTTCGACTGTGTCAACTAAGATAGCTGACGTCTTTGGACTGAAACACGGAAAATGATGAATACGACTACAACTATCATATTACAAGATTTACATTGATCACTTAAAAAAGTATATACACATGTTCGTCACAAAACAAAAATGTTTGCAAATGTTCTGGTTAGATATTGATTGTTTGTTGCTTTAACAAAAAATATTATTTGTTATTTTAACGTTTAGCGCATGCTAAGGAATGACTGTGGTTAGTTTCACCGCCATTTTAGATCGAAATATCGTTCTAGTTTCATTTCTTTCATGTATACAAGGCTGCAATAGGCGAGGATTCCTTAACCGAAGAATTCCCGATGTTATTGGATCAGTTGGGAAGCAATAAAGCGTTTAGTAGCCGCAGAGCAATAAAGTGAGGAAAGTTTGTTCGTGCAAAACTACTTCGTCCTCACTAAAAAAAGAAAAAAAGAAGATAATTTACATCTAAAGAACTAAACTAGAGGTTGTGTCACTCGTTAAACGAGCAGCCGTAAAATAGTGTAAAGTAGAATTCGAAACCACTATGGCAAACGGGGACGCTCGTTAAGAATAGTCAATAGACGTCAAATTTCTAGACTTGGAAGAGGAAGTGTAGGCAACGGTAGGTTTTATGTAACTTAAACATGGACGCCCACCAAAAAAATTACTGCATAGGCATGTCGTGATATGCACATGACTTCCTCGTGTTATGACTTCGAAGTGCTATAAGCTATTTCCACTATTCCCACTCTAGGTACATAGCTCTTCTACAGTGTAGGAATAATAGTTTCTCGGGAACGTTCACCGAAGGTACGCAGCAATAATAGGAAAACAAATTATGTCAGTGCAACGCCATCTGTGAGGAGTAAAGTGACCAGCAACAAGACTGGATTCTTAACACGCTTGAGACGATGCTAAGTACACCCCTCGACACTGTTAGGGCAAGCAGGCCCTCGTCTGATTTTGCTGCTCTTCTCTCATTATTGAAGGACTCTCATCAGACACTTCTACAGCGGTGGGAAGCGCTCCGTTGGTGTAGAAACCTAAGTGGTAAATTTTTATGGCCGCCAGTACCTATTCGAAGCAAGAAGCAAAAAAGTGCCGAAGTCGTGTTGTCGCTACCAGTGCCACGCGGTCTATAGCTCAAATATCTGACTTGATATAGCTGTTCCCACAAGGATTTACTCAAGCTCACGTGTTTCCAAACGCGCCCCTTTAGAAAATCAATATTCCTAAGGTATAACCGAATTCAAATAAATAAGTGAACACGTCATTTACGCTGCCAGGTTATGTTTCATCTGTCGCTAATACAGAAAAGGCAAAACGTTACTTTTTAAGTCGTTCATAATTTTTAGCACACTCGGAGTAAGAAACTCTGTCAACCCTTCGTAATGAGAAAGTCTATGAAAACTACGCCGTACTTTCGCGTGTTTAACATGTCCCCGAGTGTTAGCAGACAGCCAGTAATAAAAGTGTTTGTACCGCTGAAGAGAATCGGGACATGTTTATTTTAGTGCGGTCTAAGATAGACCAACGTTCCGGTGACAAGGAGTAAGGGGAAGCATTTATTTGTTTGCTTTCATTATTTCAGTGTTAACGATCAATTCACCTCGTTTTTCTAAACTAAATAAACAAAGATCTTTGGCCTTCCCAGCTTGCACAAACTGTTTGATGAAAGACGTAAGCGGAGAAAAGCCACTTCTATGAGTGGCCTTCGGGAAAAAAACAACAACATAATTACAAGATTTTTCGTTAGTCACGAAAATATATTTGCAACTATGAGGATTTGTGAAAAAAGAACTAGCGAAAGTTTTAACAACCTACGCAAACGGTGTGATTACTGACGTAAGTGGCTGAAAGCCACCTCTGCGATTGGCCTTGAGATAGGAGCAAAATAACGAGATTTTCGGCTATAGTCTCAGAAAGAGTCCTGTTTATCAGGATTTGTTTAAATGAACTGGCGATAGTTAAAAATTTGGTTGCTAAGGTCTGTATTTTTTCTGGCAATAGTGACAAGCTTTGCTATTGGCCAACCTTTGTGCCACCAAGTTTAAACTACGTATATATGCTGAAACCCAGATGTAGAGGTCTAAACAAACTATTCTATCAACAAAAGCACCCCTCCCAAACATGATGATTATGATAATAATAATAATAATAAGGCGAAAAACAACTACAACCAGAAAAAAGTGAATCAAGTATGATTTTACATCTGCTTTCGACCAAGGAAAGTTTAATAGGAATGAATGGAACATCTTTCGCCCTCGTTCTAAATCCATATCTCACGCTCAGACACAAAAGAATTACGAAAAAAGTTCGGCCAAATCGAATAAAGAATGAGGTACTATCAACACGAGCTTGGCGACCACATGGAAAATATGACTATAAAGAGGGAAACGAAATACGTAGCAAACACCGAAGGAAGACACAACTACGCCGCGAGTAGCTGAAAGACACAAGACTGCGAAGAACCGCCGAGGTCCAAAAGCTAGACCTCAGACAATACATACACAA